CATTTTATTTTTTTCATTGCAAATTCAAGATTTAACTCAACTCAACTCAATAAAAATTTATATGAATATAAATATTTAAAATTTAAAATTATATTTAGATAAAATAGTCGATGTGTGCATAGATGCTTCCGTACAATGCACGAAATTTAAAATTCATTATCTGTTTCTCATTTCTTTTTCATATATTTTCCTGTCATTTGTATTAGTTAAGAAGTTAGATAAAAATTGTTAAAAACTTTTGGTTAGTAAAAGTAATTTTTTGGATAGATGTATATCAATAGTGATAATTAGTGGTGGAGGCGATGAGTGATTATAAAGGGACATGTAGTAAAATATAATTAGAGAAAATATTTACTATTTTATTTTTAAGTGATCGTTATTGTAAACTGTGGACTGTTCTTAGAGTATCAACTATCAAGCATCAAAATGTTAATTCAAATCAAAACAGTGGGCCCAAGTTGGGCCGAGTCTGTTCCGGGCTTGTAAAATGTGCAATTCAAAGCCCTAGTCTGAAGCCCATTATTGGTTCCTTTACGAATAAGGCTCAGCACCTTAAACTAGGACTATGCTAAAATTACAAGTTACTAGAACAAGGGGAGAAATATATACAAGAAAAAACAAATACAAATTTCATTTTATGATCAATTCTTGGGGCAATTAAATTTTAGAAATTACAATTTTAGACAGAAAAGTTTGAAAAAAATTGTGAGACCATCAACTGTTCCTCTCAGGCCCAAATGTTATAATTGGTTATTAGAAAAAGTATGTTGATATCCAAATAATGTTTAATAATTTTAAAAGGTACTCTCACAATTTTCTAAAACTACACAGGCAAGCTTTTTTAGATTTTATCATAGTGTGATGTTATTGTAATGACAAAATTTTGTGTGATATAACACAAAAGTAATGTCAAATTACAAATTTGTTTATTTTGAATAGAAAAAGTGGCGTTAATTCTTTTTGGTGTGATTCTCACGTGCGTAATTCTTTGATTCTCAATGGATTTGATGGCAACGAGGATCGGATCGGCATATTTCTCGATTTTTGATTTGGTGATGGTTTTGGTAGATTTAGTGAAGATGAGGGTTTGATCGGCATGATTCTTGAATTTAATTTGTGGATGTTTTGGTGGATTTTACTGAAGATGAGAGTCGGATTGACCTGATTATCTTTTTTTGATCCTTGATTTATTGGATTTATTGAAGACGAGGGGTTGAATTGACGTGGTTTTCATTCTTCGTTCTTTGATTTAGTAGATTTGTTGAAGATAATGGTCGGATTGATGAGATACTCATTCTTCGATTTGATAGTGACTTTGTTGGATCTTTTTACCGTTCTTTGTGTTAATCAACTTAAAGATGATTTAATTCTCTTAAAGAAATATCTTAGTTGTGTTTCTTGTCCTCAAAGATGGATTTGCAAGACTTTGGTTGGAGGGAGACTTCGTTGCTGATCTTCCCTTCTCCTCTTGGATAGACTCAGGCTGAACTTTCTTGATCTATTCTCCTCCTTAGCTTCTTTCTTGGCCTCCTTCTTTTAGAGTGCAAAGAGTAGTTATTGATGTAAAAATATTTTACTTGAAATACTCTTATATGGGCTTTGGGTAGTGGGTCACCCATATTTATTTTAATTTATGGACTTTGATTGATTTATGTTATTTGAGCTTTAGGTTAAACATAGTTTAATTTGACAAACTTAATTAATTAAATTTGAGTTCATATTATTAGGGTTGTAAAATTACAAGTTACTAGAATAATATATACAAGAAAAACAAATACAAATTTCATTTTATGATTAGTTCTTGGGGCAACTAAATTTTATAAATTACAATTTTAGATAGAAAAATTTGAAAAAAATTGTGAGAACATCAACTGTTCCTCTCAAGTCCAAATGTTATAATTGGTTATTAGAAAAATTATATTGATATCCAAATAATGTTTAATAATTTTTAAAAAAAGGTACTCTCATGATTTTTTAAAACTACACGGGCATGCCTTTTATGATTTTATCATAGAGTTTAATGATGTTTACAACACGACTGAGCAGATTGATGGATTCGATATGCACCGAGTAGTTCAATCTGAGCTTCAAGGCTCTTGAGAATTGGATCAGGGGATTAAGATTATCACACATGGAAATTCTAGTGGTTTACTTAGTCAGGGAGCTTGGTTAATCCATTTTCAAAGGAGTCTCTTGCTGGAGGGGGATATATTGATAACGAGGATTTTACACTAAGTATTTGAATGAGGTTACAATTGCTTTTTTTTGGCGTTGGGGGTCATGTCCCCTATTTATAGTCGATCCTGAGCTTTGATTGATCTTTGACGAGATCCTCACTTTTTCTCGTAACGTTTGCTTTTATTAGGCAACAATTGCAGTGAGTGTTGGGATAGTTACGAATCTTTTGCCTGAATAAACGACTGCCGTTTTCGTGGTTATGCTTGGTGAGAGCCAATTATCTTCTATGCTGCAGGCACAGGAAGCTCAAGATTTGAAGCTGAGGTCTATAGATAACTTAAATGAACTGAGCTCCCGACCTAAGAGAGCATGACTTTTGTTACCAAGCTTAGCCTTAGACATATTCGATGCACCATCAAAGATGTTACACAACTCTTGTTTGTCTAATTTTACCCTTATACGGTTATACGTACTTTTCATGCATTCAAAAAATTCTTGAACAATCTTCGATTTAATAGTGATTTTGTAGGATCTTTTAACTATTTTTTATGTTAATCAACTTGAAGATGATTTGAATCTCTCAAAGAAATATCTTGGCGGTGTTTCTTGTCCTCAGAGATGGATTTGCAAGACCTTGGTTAGAGGGAGACTTATTGTTGATCTTCCTTTCTCCTCATAAGATGGACTCGGGCTTAACTTTATCTTCTCTCCTCCTTAAGTTCTTTTCATGGCCTCCTTCTTGGCCTTCTTCTCTTAGTCTCTACTCATACGCTTATTTATAGTATTGAGGGTAGTTATTGAATTTTTTTTTTTAATCTGAAATACTCTTATATGGACTTTAAATAGTGGGTCACCCATATTTATTTTAATTTATGAGCTTTGGTTGATTTATGTTATTTAAGTTTTAGGTTAAACACAATTTAATTTGACAAGTCTAATTAACTAAATTTGAACTTTTATTATTAGGGTTGTGAAATTTAGGTACCACTCAAACCTGTTGAATTAACTTTTGGCTTCTATTATTTGGGCTTATGGAATTGAAGTTCAACCCAATTTAATTTATCTAATTAGTTTGACTTCAATTATAGACATTAATTTATTAACTTTTTTAATGTCTATAGTTACATAACACTTATTTGTCTAATTTTACCCTTATACATTTATACGTGCTTCATGCATTCAAAAAATTCTTGAACAAACACTCGTTATCCCATGTCTGAACAGGCTTAATCCCATAAAGGAGCATTTTATTTTTATTTTTACATTCTGTCTCATCTTTATATAATATTCTCTGGATTAAAGACAACTCTATCAAGCTATTTTCATCAATTCCCCTCCATTATCATAGGTTAGATCGGAATTAATGGTTCAATTCTCTCTCATGTTTATACTCAAACTAAATATGTTCTAAATTACTAAATTAGGTCTAATAATATTGTTTTTCTTATTACAAGTTGATGAGGACATTTCTAGAAGGTTGTTGGATTAATGACGCGTATCCTCGATCCCGGGGCTCTCCTTGACTCTGGTGAGGCCACGTGTCCTCGACCTCAATATCCCTCTTCTCCAACAGATGGATTCCTTGGTTCCAAGATATGTTCTCTTGACTAAGAGGAACCACATGTCATCAATCCCTAAGTCATTGGTTTCCGAGGAAGCCAGTGACTGACAATTGAATCAGCCTAAGCTAGGCTGGTACGATGACACTCTGCACAATGGAGTCAGTATGACAGAATGAACTAGACATTCAGCCAAATAGGGTCGGGCGCGTGGCATAAAGCGCAGGATGAAAGGTAAAAAGACAGAACTACCCCTGCTGATACGCGACTAATAGAAACAAACATTTAATGAATTATCAGTTGATAAGACACCTACTGTGGCGTGATGAGCCGATGAGTAAAAGATATTAAATGCTCAAGGACTCGAGCACTTAATATCTCCACATTGAAAAAAGAGCATTAAGTGCTCGGCCAGATGTTGGGACATTCCCCAGGAAAAATAGGGGGCACATTACCCATCTTTGAAGGTTATCTACTGTCTAGACTATCAATAATGATGAGTCTTTGAATGTATAAATAACTCTAAAAATACATTACAAAGGTACGTGAATTCATCTCTCAAGAACAAAAAATATTGTTTTTTTCTTTCTCTCTCTCAAAGAATTAACTTGATCGTCGGAGGGGACACGCTGAAAAACACTCTGATGCCCTTTTAACCCATTTTTTGTGTTCCAAGAGGCCTTCACGAGCCATCAGGATCAGTTCGACAACACCAAAAGCAATTCATCACTAGTCCTTAGGCTCCCTTTGACCCTCTCAATCTATTCCTTGTTAATGATCCACCATTCTGACAAATCGAATCTCACTGTGAGAAAAATATGTTCTCATTTTAATTATTGTGCAGAAATTTTCCCTCACACAAGTTAAATGTGTTTGTTTTCATTTGGCAACGAGCCGAAAAAAAAAAAATCAGAATTTGAAGTTTTGAACTAATGTTTATGTAGACCAAAATTTGGAACCCAACTCCGTGGTGAAGTGGACAGCTCGACACGACAACAGTTCAATAGGAAGGGCCTACCGACCGTGCCACGTTAAAATTGAGTAAAAGCAGCGTATACACCACGTCGGCGACCCCAATGAAAGGGGAATGATTCGCACTCTCGTCACTTTGATATCACCCTAATTTCTCTCTCTCTCCAAGTTCAACACGCTTCTTGTCAACACTCTACCCACTCCTCCCCCCTTTGCGTCCTTGACCCTCCTCTCTTTCTCTCTCTCCCTCTCTCATTCTGTGCTACATATACGCACGGTTATTACACCACCTTCCCTCACAGTCTATCCTCAATTCCTCGTTAATATCTCTCTCCTCCACAGTCCGTGCTTATATCAAGTAAACAAGAAGTACTGATAAAAAATAACACCCAGAATCTGATATGGGAAATATCATCTGTTGTTACTCTTTGGGGCCCCAGCCACGGGCCGCGAAGCTCATTGACGTTCACGGAAATTTACGACTTATTAAGGTCCCAATAACTGTCGCCGAGCTCATGCTCGAAGAACCAGGCCACGTGATTTCTCCGGTCGAAGTTCTCCGGCGAACTAGTCGGTTTGAGGCCATGAAAGCCGATGAAGAACTATCTTCCGGAAAGCTTTACATGTTGGTTCCCGCAAATAGGATTCACTGTTTGCTGTCGGAATCGGAAATGGCGCTTGTAAAATTTTCTTGTGAGAAAAAGAAGGCGAAACGACGTAGTTCTAAGATTTTGCCGGCATTGACCCAGGAAGGCGGTGAGAAGGGTGAGGGATCCAACGATCCGGTACCGGTTTTGGGTGGGGAAAATTCCGGTTTACCATGTTACCGATTGAGACAGTGGAGGCCCGCTCTTGAGCCCATTTCAGAGGGGGCTTGAGAAACGTTTCTTTATTATTATTTGTTTTCGGGATTCGGATAGTTTTCAAATATTCCACGTGGTGTTCTTTATATATGATATGCCACGACAGGTGGGACCAAAGGTCATCTGACATGGCAAGGCAGTGGGACCAGGTCCATATATTTTTTCTTAGAATATGTGATTAGGATCTCTTTGGATTGCAGAAGCTGTACAACTGAAATTCTTACCCTGAAATTATACCCATTCATTCTTCCCTATTAGCACCATTTTATTTGGAGTAATATTATTTACACTAAAAAAAGTTAAGAAGAATCAAACTTACATGAAATTATAACAAAGCTATTTTCATGCTCAAAATGACGGTTCACATGGTCAAGTAGTAAGAGGAATAAACTGTAAAATTAAAATGTCCTAATCTCGGCATATATGACCTGCTTTTGAGAGGGACAGAGAGGGAATCAGTCAAAATATACGTAAATTGATTTGAATACTCCTGATCATTGAACTAGAAAGAAAAAAAAAAAATCTCACTCTTGTGCTCTTAAGAATTATGAAATCTTTTTAGAAGTTTTAGGTCGACAACCAATCAACTCGAGTCTCTCCCTTAATAATCATATTTATATGTTACATACAAATTTCCTCTACAACAGTTCAGATTAATTAATTTGGAAGGTATAGATGGAGATCTGGAATCTACTAATTAATCTATCCGTTGTTATGATACAATCAATGTGCATTACTATGATACAAATCCTACCTCTGTGTATTGGATTAATTTAGGGAACTTATTAGTTGTACCGTCCATTTTAACTGGTAACAGCTCGTTGCAAATATTAAAACATTAGTTAATGTCGTTGATCGGTTCTTCCTCTTCCACCATTGACTTCTCTTCTTGTTCGGTATGACGGGAGTCTACCAAAAGAAGAGGATCAGAGGATGGCCTCAATGTATTTATCACCATCTGATCAACCCACAAGCTCAAATCCCAACCGCTAAAAGTTCTGCTTGCAGCTCACAAGCCATTGGATTTGATTGCATCATAAACACAACCACCCCAATCTTCTGTGACATTCTCGTCTGTTATTACCAAGTCCACCATTATATCTGTCACAAGTTGGGGTGGTTTAACAAACACAAACCCTCAACTCTTACCTTAATATATTACAACAAATTAAACGCATGCTTTTACTCCACTCACATTCTCACCTCCTTGCCTTCTTCAGTTGCTCTTTCAGATCCCATTCTCTCTCTCTCTCTCTCTCTCTCTCTCTCTCGATATGGGCAACCACATTTCATGCCGGCCATCGGACGGCAGCGGAAAAGTCATTCTTTCAGATGGCACGATTCATCGGTATGACCAACCATTAACGGTTGGAGAGCTCATGATAGAGCACCCACAACAGGTGGTGGTCGAAATCCAGTCAATTTTGAATGGTGGAAGAAAGGCAAGTCCATTGCCTGCTGATAATAAGCTTGAGAAAAACAAGGTTTACCTCATGCTTCCAATAAAGAGAGGCAAGCCAACGACATTGTCGTCTGAAGAAGCTCGTCGGCTTCTTTTAAGTGCAAATTCAGTACTCAAATCCAAGTCTCTTGTATCCATATTAGGGCTTCTCCCATTGTTTGCAAAAATATGTTCTGCGGACACCGGAGATGGACAAGAGTTTGTGCTGCATCGGAAAGAAAACTTGGCGGAGAAGATAGAGGAGACGAACAAAGAAAGGTTTTTCCCTGAAACCTTGGAGGGGCAGAGGCTAGAATATTTAAGCAGGCAATTCTCAGGGAAGGGGTGGAAGCCCAATTTATATACAATTATGGAGAACAAAGTGAAGACAAAGGTCCGTCACTGGTTGTTCTGAACATGTGGTCTTGCGACCATGCTTTCTGTCACAGGTAAGAAAATTGTAATTGAGTGAGGAAGAAGTAGAGTTACTTTGAGTAATCAAGTCTATGTAGTCTGGCTAGAGATGCCGCCATGTGAGCGCACTGTGCGGTGCAAAGACTTATAGTTATATTCATGGTAATTGTGTATTGTTGGTAATTTGTTGGACAAAACCTAAGTGATATCAGTCAATTTTAGTTTTTAAATTTGTTGATAAATTCGATGGTTCATTCAGATTAATGCCACACAAGTCAAATGCAATTCAAATAATTACAACCTAAATGCTTATTATTTCTTAGATGAGTGAGTCCTACCAATCTTTTTAGTCAAACTCATTAATTCAACACTTATTCAAGGGATGATATGTATTTGGATTACAAACTTTAAATTTTATTTGGGTTGTGTAGTATTTTCCATTTGTGAGACAATAATGAATTTGGTCAATAAAATTTTTCGAGATTTTTCCCTCCACCTGAATAACATTAATCGAGTGATATTTCTATTAAGATGGAGAATCATTTTTAATAATTCCAATCAGGACTTTTCATTTCTTGCCCAATTTGAATTGGTATGCTTTGAATAACAATTTCACTGAATTAGTGGTGCAATACCAAAAAAAAAAAAAAAAAGCCAAAAAGTACAATGAAGTGAAACAAGGAAGTTTCCAATACTCCGACCAATACATTATTACTTGGTGTTTTGTGTGGAGTTCTTATGAAAACTATCTTATGCTATTAAAGCTTTAATCTATAAGAAGACGACCAAATAAAACAACAATCAACATGACATTAAAATTAATGGCATACCCTCGTCATCATACAGAGAGAGCGCTCGCACAAATGTGCACTCATGCCCGCGGCCCATGATATGGCCTGGACATTCTGCTAGTTCATTGGCCCAGCCCATAAAGCAGAGATCTGTTGATGGGGGCGGTTGGCCCGATGACAAGGCAGGTGGACTTTTTTTGCCGGCCAGATCAGCCTTTTGCTGTTCCGCATCCCCGCTCATCGGCTTGTCAAAATTAAAACGAGGGAAATTTAGTGGCCGGTCTTATATATACATTTGTTTAGATTTAAGTTCGATAGACTTAAAAATTAAAAACTCTTAAATTTTAAGAGTTTGAGTAATATTAAAATTTTTTCTCTCTCATATCTATCCATATATATATATATATGTTATAACTATATCTCTCACACACACATATTAAAAAAAGTAATATTCACATATAAAAAAAATTATCATTTAAAAACAAAAAATAATACTATTTAAACACACATAAAAAAATAATAACATTTAAACAAAAAAAAATAGTAACATTCAATATTAATATTTTTAAAAAATAACAATAATAACATGTTCAACAAAAATAATAACATACTTAATAAAAATAGTGACATACTCAACAAAAAATAATAGTAATATGGAATATTAAACAAAAATAAAAATAAAAATAATACCATTCAAACCCATAACCAGATGAATGAACTTCAAATTCTTTAGCATCCAACAAAATAACATTGAAAAAAGTAATAATATGCTCAATAAAAAATAGTAACATGAAAAAAAAATAGTAACATGGTCGTAAAAAAACGTAGTAACATGAAACATTAAAAAATTTTAGGGATTATTTATCAAAAAAATTAAAATTAAATTGGGGATCAAACTAGCAAGTTTTTCAACATTTTTTTTTTTCTGAAAACCAACTACATAGAAGTTTATGATGAGCATAACATAGTAGACGGTATGATAGTTATTGATAATGTTTCAAACTTTATTGATTTTGATACTATAGAGGAAGAAATAATATCTAAGGAGAAAGATTTGTTGTATTGGATTGATGATCTTCTTCTATAGATATACATTGAGAGAGAGAGAGAGATAATATATAAATTTCAATTTCAATTTATGAGTGAATTAAGGGATAATAATTTTTTATTTAAAAAATTAATTTAAAGCTACTTTTAAAATCTTTAAAATTTTTATAATTAAATAGAATAACACTGTTAAATGTATTTTTGAGATTTATAAAAATAGTGGATTTAAATACTTATTAGTAAGATAAAAAATAAACTTATCACAAAATAAATTTCTTTAACAGACTTAAATCATTATAACTCCATCTAGAAAAATTCAACCTCAATTTTCACTTAAAACAAAACCCAATTAGAAAGTCCATTAGTAGACAGTGGCTATCCTTTCTTCTAATGGGCTGGCTCAACTCACCCCCATCCTATTTTTACTACTGAAAATTAGAATATTCCCAGGGCTGGGCTAGGAAAGATTCCCAAAAGTATGGATCTCAAAAGAGTCCATGCCTTTGTATCTATTTAAAGTAGGCATGAATTTTAATAAGCAATAAAAATATAAATTTTAATTGACTAAAATCAAAATTTAATACATAAAACAATTTAATAAGCTTGAATTTTATTATGTAAAAAATAAAATTTAATAAACTTGAATCGAATTTTAATTAGTTCAAATTTTAATACGTTAAAAAATAAATTTTAACTCGAATTTTAATATGTAGAAAAAAATTTTTAATTAGCTAAAATTTTATGTAGAAAGATTGTTTGGGGTTTATATAAGAATAATTTTGCTATTTGGATAATTTTTTCTTTTTTTTGGGGGGGGGGGAGGGCTAAAAACAGTGGTTTAATGGTGAGGGTGTTAGTGATATTTAAATATAAATAAGAAGATGTGTTAGTAATGCTTTAGATAATAGAAGGTGTCTCATTAAAGATATGTCTATTTAGAAGAGTGTGGATGATAATTACCCTTAATTCAATCTTAATCCATTGACACAGAATTTATTTTACAAAAAAAAATCCTTCCCAAAATACCATCTTTTCTCCACGGCTCTTTATATTAGATAACTCAACTAACACACCTGTCAATACTATTTAAAATATAAATGTTAAGAGTATTTTTAAACACCAAATCATGATTCTACGTAAATTAGGAAGACGTTAACCAACTCTTAAACCGTGAGTTTGGGAAGAGAAGTGGGTCACAATCACAAATGGTGGGTAACCTTGTGCCGTGCCTTTCTCTCAACAAAAACAGACACCGACTGTTTACTATATGTTCAACATGGACATGCCACGTATAATTAATCACAAGTTGGTTGACTATAAATCACATTGCTTGCTGTCAAAGATATTGGATCCTCTCAGTTTGGCACCATCTACATCTACACACTGATTTTGGAATGGGTCAAAAACTTTAGTTGACTTTTGGATAAGCAGACAAGCTTGGAATCGGTGGCGATCTCTTTCTCTGAAATAAAAACTCTCCTCCCCCACACCCATTAATCCACCGCTTCACACCTATATTCTCTTTTCTTTTAACTGCACTAACTTTCCACGAGACCAGAAACATTTGACAATTGCAAAATGTACACATTATTAAATGATGACACCCATACAACATAAGTGCTCCCATCAATTTTTTTTTTTTTTGGGTTGCGATTAGCATGCATCAATCACAACTAGTGGATGTTATAAGATTCATTAATTCATTACCGTTGAACAATTATTTATTTCAAAAGTTTAAATTATTAGAGATTGTATAAATTTTTGGAATAGATGACTATTTAATATGGTATCAGGAGAGGAGATTTTGTGTTTAAATCTCGCTGCCACCTAAATTATTAAAAGATTTATGCGTACTAGGCTCAAAATCTAGCCCGCACGTGAGGGGCCATATTGAAGTACTAGTTATTGTATGTACCTGAATGCACAGAATAATAAAAAATAGTAAACAATAAACATATTTGTATTCATATTTAAAATCAAATTGTAAACATAGAAAAGAGATAAATAAATTTATGCATTGATTTGTAATGGGGGTGAGAGGTGGTGGGCAACAGTAGTGGTGGTAGGAGCCGGTGATGGCTGTGCAGGTGCTGGTGGTAGCGATAGCGACGACAGTGGTGGTGGCGGTGGTAGTAGTAGAGGTAATGATGGGGTGGTTTCAAGCACTATTTTTTTTAAAAGTATTTATGAAAAATAATTTTAAAAAGTCATTTTAAACACATCCTTAGGGATCTATTTTTCATATTAAATTTAAGGTGTTAATATTAACCGTTAGATTAACTTTAAACTAAAATTTAAAGGGATCTAAATCGCGAATAACAAAAGACATTTTGTTTATCTTTTGAAATTTGAATTGTAAACTACTTTATTATATAAATAAATACTTAAGTTACACTATCTCCAACATCTTAAGATTTTGAAGAGAAATAAGTCGATAACCATCTTAAATCATAGAAGTTCAAAATCAAAGCAAAAATTTGGCACAACTCTACAGGAGAGGGAATGAAAATATGTCAAATGAATTAAAAAGGAAAAAAAACTCAAATAGAGTTATTGAGTTAACAAATTTTTCTGGAGGTATTCTATAGTAGTGTGTAAATAATTTGGGTCAAGTTATTATTAAATAGAGTAATGATATATAAACTTAAAAACTAGACTTAAAAATTAAATTTGATAATCTCAATCATTGAATAGGTAGTGAGTCACAATAAATACTGAAATCCACAGTAAAATCAATGGTTGAGATTATCAAGTCTAATTTTTAAATCCATGCAGAATTACTCTATTAAATATGGACAAGTTATGACCAAAAAAAGAAGTTGTGATTGATTCTAAAATATTAAAATAAAATTTAAACAGTTTCCTTTTGTAGTAACGTCGTCAAATTAGGAACTAACTTTAACTTTATTTTTTTGATAATTATTTTAGTATAGTCTGACCCTGGTTTGTCTAGCGAGCATAGATTTTTTTTTGGTTCAACGGTCGATGGTATTTGGGCTAATTTACTTGTACCTTGATTAATTTTTTCACTAATTTATCAAAGACAAATTATCTAAACCCAAACTAAGATATTCGTAAAAAAATTCAAACTCAAAACGTGTTGCATAAGGTGTTTGTACACGCCAATCGCTGGTTCACACCACAGGACACTTGAGCAACAGCA